CTCCTAATCAGGTGGGATATCTCTGGAACCCAGAAGCAAGCTTCTGTGCCTGCTCTCCATCTTCACCAACTTTTCTTTCTATAACTCCTCTTTCCCCCTTTATTATTTAATGTTATAAAGTGACTGCTATGGTCATGTTACTATTAGAGAATTTACAGATGCATGCTTGGAACGTTATTCTTTCTGAGCAAGGTTGTAAAGCCAGAATTTTTTTTATTTATTTTTATTTTTTTAGAAGAAGCATTTCATTACAGCTTAACATGCTCAATAACAGTTTCCAGAGCACAGACACATCTCTTTCAAAAGTGACTATAAAATTTTTATGTTCACTGTTGAATTAATACAGTTAGACAATATTGAACTCAGCATAAACCCTGTAAGACATAAAATTGAATGAGTTTTTAACCTTTAAAAAAGATCTCCAGAATATTTGAAATTAAAACTCTCCTCTACCTTAACCATGTAATTTAGGTAAATACCACCAGCATAATACCCATGCTGTGCTCCTCCTGATGCTATGTGAAGAGAAATGTACTTCATCTCCAGAGTACCCAAACCAAACACCCATAGCCCCAGTTCAAATGTGAGGAAATAGCAAGGAAGCTCCAGCTGTGAGTCCAAGGGAGATATTCTACAAAAGAGCCAAGGTGATAAGAGAAGCAAAGCCTGAAGAACTGTCATACATCATGGGATAAAGACGTTACCATCACTAAAGGCTTAGGAAGCCATGGATTCAAATCCACGTGGAAAAAGGATGCTCAGAAAAGTCTAGAGTTGATTCAAAGTATTATATTAATGTTGTTCTTCTGGCTTTTTTCTAATTATACTATAGTCACGTTACAGATTGATATTAGAGGAAACTAAAGGAAGAATGACAAGAAATTCTATGATATCTTTAATATCTATAAACCTATAATTATTGAAAATAAAACTTGTATATGTTCAGGGGTGGAGTGGAGCTCAGACCACAGTGGTGGTTCTAAGTCAGTCATTATTTGCTAATAGAAGCAAGCAAATCAAAATTAAAATGTCTAATAGAAAATATTAAGTGCATTTTTACATATATTCAATAATCGAGACAAAGCAAATATGTTACTTCCTAAAGACACATAGCAAATGAAGGCGACTCTAAGATAAAAACCTGCCTACCTACTCACAGTTCTTTCCAGTTTTACCTCACTAAAGGCATCAGCTGAGAACTAACCGCTGGTTTCGGCAGAAAACAGGGCACTGAAGAAAGCTCCAGTCCTTCAGCCCGTTTTCTTCACAGTGTCAGAAGAGATGGTTGTAAAAGACAGTCGGAGCTTCCAGGTTCACACTGCCAGGTTTGCCTCCTGCCAGATCTTTCCAGGCTTCCTGGCTTGAGTTAAATGCTCAGTTTTGCTACAAACGTGGAGATTCTAATGATGAGCCCCCTTTGTTGAAACAATGAGAAAATCAACAATATTTGAGTTACTGCTGAGATTCTACAGACCCATAACCTAACAATAAATTTGTTAAGCTTAGGCTGTCCCTAGCTCCTTCCACATACCATTTAGATTACTTTCTTTGCTTTCTCCTTCAAGCCCACACCTAATTAAGCTCATTTAATGATACTGATCTTAATGATACTTAATATAATGATAAATAATTAAATAATGATACACTTAATGATACTTTGATGGGCACATTATTGACATTAAATAAACAGCATGCAAGAGACAGAGTATCTCGTCCCCATAAGTTATAGACCAGTTTATTAAAGTCTTTTATTCAAATTAGATATAAATATAGTACAGTCAGAAAAGACCACAGTCTGAATGTTACAGTGTGAACATTAAATGTCTCCAAAGCCTCATGTGTTAAAGGCTTGATCCCTGGGTTGCCACTATAGGGAAGTAATTAAAAGCTGCATTAAATGGCACCCGGTGTTGGTCCTTACAGCACTGAGGGCAAGCCCTCAAAGGGCTTCATGAGTTCCTCGTCCCTTCTCATTCTCTCATTTACTTTTGAGCCAGGAGATCAGTTTGCTTCACCATATACACACCTGTCTAAGGCCAAGGCAGGAGGGCTACCCAATCTTTAACTTAAACCTCCAAAACTCTGAGCCAAAATAAATCTTTTCTCTTACAAGTTATTTATCTCAAAAGTCTGACTAATACAAAGAAATAACAAGGAGAAGCTGGTTTAAACTGTGAGATAGAGGAGAGACTTGCTTAGCAAGTAACACTTTAAAATCTGACAGCTGAAGAATGATAGGAAAGGAGAGAGGACAGGACCTGTGAGGGCACTGTTCCAATTAGAGAACAAATTGTGTGTGAAAAATTAATGAGAGAGCTCTCGAAGGTGGTTCATGATGAAATTTATTTCAATAAAATGGTCAACATATAGGACAAGGGGAGCAACTTCTCTAAGAAAATCGACTGAAGTCAAATCTTTCACATCACCTTTATGGATAGAAAGCTCTGTTCTGACTGTGCTGAACAATTATTGCACTGCTACAAGAGAATGGGCAAGGTGATGTGGCTTGGATTACTTAACATGTACTATCACTTTGTTAAATAGTTTGAACCATACTGATTTATGACATTTAGATATTTCTACAATGTATAATTTGTTACTTGGTTTACAAAAACATTTACATGATTTATTAACATAAATATTTTAAGTTTATGACTTGCTGAAATTCTCATGAATACCCTTAAGGTCACCATAAAATCAGCAATCAAAGTATGGCATGTGCACACATGTTCCCATGGACAGGTGACACTCTCCTGATGTACCTGCTATAATGAACAATTTGTATGGCTATGGTCCAAGTATTCAAATTATACATTTATAAATTTCCAGGAGGCTAGAGAGATGACTTGGTGATTTATAGCACCGGCTGTTCTTGCAGACAACCAGGGTTTGAATCCCAGTACCCATATGGTGGTTAACAACCATCAATAACTCCAGTTCCAAACGATCTGAAGCCCTCTTCTGTCCTAGGCAGGCACTGCATGACATGGGTGCACTTACATGCAGGCATAGCACCCATGCACATAAAAAAAATTAATTTTTTTTAATTTCCAGAAGTAATTTAGTCCTAAGATCTCATGTTCTACTGTGGAAAGGTCCTCAAAGATATGCAGATATATACAAACATGTATTTGCTATATTGTATGTGTGGCATGTGTATATAACATGTATGTGGTATATGTGTGCATGATTGATACATGCACACGTTCGTGTATATGTGACATGTGCACTGGTGCATGTAGAAGTTGTCTTCAACTCTACTTCTCAGTCATCTCCATCTTATTCTTCGAAGCAGGGCCTCTTTCTGAACCTAAAGCTTGCTGATTGACTAGACAGCCTGGCCAGCAGTGCTGGGCATCCTCATGTCTCTATCCCCCAGCACTGGGATTACAGACATGTAATATCATGCTCAGCTTTCTCAAATAAGGACTGAGGATACTTGAGACCTGAGGGTCCTCAAGCTTACACAGCAAGCACCTTACTACAGAGCCATCGCTCCAGCCCCCACCGAGTTTTGTCTTGTTTCTCTTCCTTTCAAATAAATATTTATCGTGGTGTAGACTATATGGTCTAGGAGTAATGTGTACTCTTTTCTTCATATTTTGCATAGAAATTTTTGGAAATGGGGGTTAGTGAAGGGAACTTTAGCTGTTAACTACATTTTCAGAGACAGATCAGTTCTGTTATGAGAACAACATGAGGATGGAGGCAAGAAATCCTCCATCCACATTGTAGTTCTGAATTGCTTATCATCCTATTTATACCATCTGTCAAGAAAATATTCCCTGATTAAGTTCATTCTCCCCTTTTATAAGACAAAACATACATCTCAATACATTTGTGTATTTGTGTGTTTACATTTTCATAAATCAGAGTACAGGATAAAGAAAAAGTATCAAACTCAATGGCCAAAGCTGGTTCTTACAGTGCTGTATATTTCTCATTGCCAATGGGATAAAAACCAACATCCAGCATCCTTAGTATTGAGTGTAAGGCCCTTTACAGGGCAGTCAGTTAACAGAACAGCCTATTTCCAGCCTTTCCATTCTTCCTTCCCCATCTCACCTGTTTTCCAGGCTTGTTTAACTAATTGCTTCTCCCTAAACCTTCCATGTTCTTCCAAGATGTACACTGCTCCCACTAACTCTCACTGGTAAAAGCCTAGTCCATGTTTAGTTTCCATATCAATGTTATTTCACAGAAGAGTAAGCACATTCTAAAACAAAATGTATTAAAGATAACATTATGGTTCAATAGAACTTGTTTGCTAATACTTTTATAACCATAATCATATTACTTATGTATGAAAGGTAAAAGTATGTCTTACCTTATGTTGTCTAATATTTTTTTTATTTTTATAGTCTTACCATCGACATTATAACTAAGTACATACACAGTTTTATACATAATATGTGTTAATCCAATCGGAGCATTAAGTATTTCTATCTCTGCCCAGTAGTCATTGTATGTGGTGAGAATTTTTAACTCTTCTAGTCATTTTTAAAAGTCTCATGTAACCACTGTTTTATTACTTGTTTTCATACAATCACTTCCTTATAGTTCTGCCATCTCAACTAAACTAATTTCTTCAAAGAAGTTGGTAAAACCCGTCGTTTAGAGTTGCGTCTCCAAAAGAGAACCTAGGGATGTGCCTGGCATGTAAAAGGGGCCGAAAAAGTGTCTACTGAATTAGGTTAGATATATTCTAGACACCGCACAGTGGGCCATTTAATGTCTTCCACTCCGCATTGTGTAATAGTTCTGATTTTCTCCCAACATTCCAGTGTATTCCTCAGCATTGAAAATAATCAGATCACAGAGCATAAGCCTTCCAATGGGTGGGGGATTTTAAAGTCTTGCCCTGCTTTTTTTTTTTCTTGTGACGTCATTGGAGTGCTTTGTACACGCAGCCTAATTCTACACAGGGAGACGTCCTCTGTGCTTATCAAGTCCTCGCAGCCTGTGAAGCACTCACTACAACTCTGTCCTTTGCCACAGACATGAGGTTCAAATTCTCTCTCACGGCCTTAGGCCTGGAAGTTGCTATGATTGTTTTATTTGGGTTATTTGTCGAGTATGAGACAGATCAGAATGCTTCCCCACAAGGCAACGCTACGAAGTCAACAAAAGTGGACCAGTTTCCTCAGTTATATCCCTGTGAGTAGGCAATTTACTTCTTACATACTTTGGGATTCCTCTGAGTCTCAGAATGTGAAAATTTTGAATACTAATATCATAAGCTCTTGAGCTCCTGGTAGAATGATCTGGTAGTTATGTGTGCTGCGAGTACTTCACATGTCTACTAAAGCCTCTTGTTCTCTGTCTATGATGAAAGGTTTGTCAGAACAATGAGCTCAAAATTAATATAACTCATCAGTTTTTTAATGTGTTGCATCCTTACTACTAAATGGCCTACTTTGTCCTTTGGATTTCATCAGCAGCTCTTCAAGGAGTAAGAGTGTAAGCTACCTTTACACCCAAGAAAAGAGCCAAAGGCAGCTTTGTAGGAGAGAGAAAGGAATAAAATGGAGTGAAAAGAAAGGAAGCCAGGATTTCACATGGGGTCCTTAAGCACAAAAAGAGTTGTTTAGGATGATGTGGGAAGTCACTGGACTTATTTATATATTCTAGGGTTTTTAGTGTTATGAAAGGAAGGCAATTTGTTCTTTTGAAATGAAAACTGAGCATGGAATTTACAAGAAAAGTGCATTTCTTCCCTTAGGAGGATGGCTAAAGGAAAAGAATAATTGTGCTTCAAGTTTGGAAGGGCAGGCTATGAAATATTTAATATATTTACATTTACTGAGGTCTTAGTACGAGCCTGACACAGTCACTAACACATTTATCAGCAAAGAAGATGATCGCAGACCATTATTTTCTACATTTTAAAAATAAAGCTCAAACAATTTTAAAAACTTAGAAACATCTAGGCATGATGACGCCTGCCTTTAATCCCGGCTCTCGGAAGGCAGATCTCTGTGAGATCGAAGCCAGCCCAGGACGGTCTACTTAGAGAAGTCCAGGCCACCTAGGGCTACAGTGATACCCTGTCTCAAAAAAAGAAACAAAAAACAAAAACCTTAAAAATAACTTAATAATTGTTGTTTGCAGCACATTCCAAACGTCTTAAAAATAGTTTGACACTTGTGCTTTCATTCCTAAACTTTTTTGAAGGATTAAATATAACATGGAAGACTCTCAGGTAGAAATTATGGCCAATGGTGACTCAGTGAAAATTCAAAACTGAAAGTTTAGAGTAGAATTTGGATCATAGGCCAGACTCTGAGGCCAGTTGCCTTTGCATTTCACAAGTATTTAAGATGATTATTGATTAAATTTTGTAATTTTCAAGTTGGAGACAAATAAAACAAACAATTATTTGCAATTCTATGCCATTATATATCATCTTTATTTAACCTTTCATTCATTTAATAAGTATTTTAAGTGCCGTGAGTGCACTGTAACAAATTTATTGAAAGAAAAAATAAATGCAGCTCCTTTACAGTAAGACTCCACTGTCTAGTGCATATGGAAACAAAGACATACAATACAGTATCATAAACAAGGTGCCAAAAACATTGTCTGAGATTACTAAAATAAAATATTAAAACCTTAAGATTCTAAAATTTTTCACAATTGAAGCTGAACCATGTAGGGCTAGTGTCAAAGACTCTAGGTAAAATTTAAATTCAGAATGAGATAAAAGCCAAAGTAGAGGGAAGTTATAAAAATTTTTAATTCTTCACAAGCTTAGCAACAGATGAATATTTTCTGGAGAGCTAGTGTACAGCATGCCAGTGAGAGTTAATGCTGTGTTGTAAGCCTATACTTACTAAGGGCATAGATCTTAAATCTTCTCATCACACACATCTATCTATACATGCATGGTTGTAACTGTATAGAGGTAGTGGGTATATTGGCTTGATTATGGTGATCATTTTATTTTACAATGCATATGCATACAAAAATGTAACACTATACCTTAAATCCATATATTAATTTATATGTTGATTGTGCTACACAAATCATTTCTAATATATGTAATAATCACATCACTTATGTGACTTGTAGGGAACAGAGAAATTCATTAATTTTATAATATATCAAAAATATTTATTCTTCTAATTCTTAAAAAGAATTTTCAAGGTTTAAACACCAGCCGATGAATGAAACAGAGAAAATGGGCAAAGTCTGTATCTTCATGGACTACTTGTTTCAGAAGTAGGTGACCATCTATATGTGTATATGTGTATGCTTAGATAGTAATAAAATGTCATAGCTATAAATGAAGCAAGATGAGGGAAGGAGTGCATCAAGATAAGACATTACGACCTTTCATCCTTTCTTGAGTAGAGACACGTGACCTAAGCCCTGATACCTCAAGGTATCCCTTGCATACAATTAAATTAGCTTCCTCCTGTTTACTGCAATGACGAATAAGAAAAAGATGTACCTGTATAAACACTTAAATGTGTGTATTTTATTTATACAGTTAGTTAGTTAGTTAGTTAGTTAGCTAATTAGTTACAAGATCTATACACAATGTAGAATCTGTCTTCTGTAAGGATGGTTCTCACATCCCAAATTTTTAGAAAGTTCTAAGATCCTTGTGAAAACAATTTACAGAATTGTCTACGAAAGTGAATGATTTTATCTACATATTTCCTCTACATTTCAAACAATTGACATATACAAAGTTCATATAGCAGTGTAAGTCATTAGAGAGCAAGTTGTTAATATTCATCATTGGGGAGAAAACAATGTCCAAGTCAAATCAACAAACATCTGGGGTACATACCTAGTGCAATGCACTGTGCCACATTCAAAAGACTCAAGATAGTAAAGATGAAATTTCCTACCTAAGATATTCACAGGGCACTAATATAAATCCCAGTCAGAGTGCTAAAAGGTTTTCAGTTTTTCACAAATATGTAAGATAGGGTGGTGAGGCAATTTCCACTTTAAGTAAAACAGACGTGTGCTTATTTTCTTCTCCAATGACTTGTACTATTGTGCGATTTTCTAATAGTGGAGTATGATGTCATTCAGTCCTTAAATATGTGCATATTCCTAGACACATGATGAAAGTGTGTCGCACCCCTGAATACCATGTTTTAAGTCATGAACGACCCCTGAGATACTAATTTGCAAAACTGCATATACTTGGGGCTGGAGAGCTGGCTCAGCAGTCAAGAGCACTGGCTGCTCTTGCAAAGGATCTAGGTTTGATTCCCAGCACCCAAAGGGCAGCTAACAAGCATCTGTAACTCCAGTTTTAGGGGATCTGACACCCTCTCCTGACCTCCCTGGGGAACTGCATGACACGGGTACACCCACCTACATGCAAGCATTACACTCATACACATATTTTTTTAATTATTTATTTAATAACCATATAATTAGAAGAGGCATTTCATTACAACAGCATTGACATATTCAGTAACAATTTCCAGAGCTAAGATGCTTCTCTTTCAAAACTGGCTGTAAATTTTTAGGTTTACAGTTAAATTAATACAGTTATACAATATTGTACTCTGTATAAACACTATAAGACATAAAATTAAATGAAGTTTTAACCTTTAAAAAGATCTCCATTTCATTATTAAAATACAGAGTTTCATATAGGAAACTTCATTTTTAATGCAATTGACATTAAGATGCATATGCGTTTCTAATCTCTATATAGCTGATTATTACTAGTCACAGTCGGTTACTTTCTGAGCTCCTTGGCATCTGAGCACGGATATAAAGTCATCAGGTAGATTTCAATGGTAA